CAGGGGGGACTACTTATCTAGAGTGAGGGCAGGCAAGACGAGAGCCCCAGTCCTTCTGGCCACTCCCTTAGTGATGAAACTGCCCCTAGTGGACACTCTGCAGGATAGCTCTTCTCTGCAGGCTTGCTGCCCCCAGTGGCCACTCTTAGTATAATGACCCTCTGAACAGCCCCTCTGTTTCCATGTTATAGAAAACAGTCCCTTTGCCAGTGCTTCCAATTGTCTTGGCACAGCCAAAACCTCACCTTGCTTTCAGTTAGGAGAAGAGGAAGATGCATGCAAAATTTGGTGGTCCTAGCTCTTACCATTTAGGAGGAGTTTTTGAACAAGTGCACTTGCAGACAGACCCACAAATCTCTAAAATATATAGAGAGAGATGCACGGAAACTTGCCCAAAATCAGCATTCATAATACAGTGCTTTCAGTACAGAAGAATTATCTGTTGCTAACTGTTGTACCTCCTATTCACTAGCTGGAAAATAGTAGATTCTAGAAATTAAGGGTTTGGGGCTTTAATAAAAGACTTTTTAAAATTAATTTCATGGTTAATCAAATAAGTTGGGATTTTTTTTTAAGTCTGTCAGAATCCATCTGAGTTCTGTCTGAATTGTTGGTTGGGGATCCACACTACTTAGTCCATTAGTCCATTATTTTAACTAAAGGAGATTTGAAGTTAGTTATTTCCTTAGCAATATGTGAATGGGAGCAATGTGATACTTTTTTTCTTTTGGTTCATCTATTAATGTGTGCGCAGAAGTAACAAATACGTTTTAATACATACAGTATTGTTGGCATTATCTGGTAGAAAGAGTCTTTTTAAAAAAAACATATATACCTCAAATACAAAATAAAAAAAAATTTGGATGGAGTTCAAAGAACTTGGCCTGTACTTGACCTTAGGGTTTGTGCTGCTGCTTGTAAACTTTCTAAAAAAATTTTCCCTGCTCAGCTTTTTCCCTATTTGAAAACATCCCTATGTCAGGCCCCCTCAGCGAATGTTTTAACTTTGCTCCCTACCTTTTTAGGAGGTGTTCCCACCAGTTTTTTTTTTTTTAAATAGCTTGTAACTATTACTGAATGTGAGCTTTTATGGAAAGACTACATCTACAATATGCTTGTAAACTTTCTAAAAAAATTTTCCCTGCTCAGCTTTTTCCCTATTTGAAAACATCCCTATGTCAGGCCCCCTCAGCGAATGTTTTAACTTTGCTCCCTACCTTTTTAGGAGGTGTTCCCACCAGTTTTTTTTTTTTTAAATAGCTTGTAACTATTACTGAATGTGAGCTTTTATGGAAAGACTACATCTACAATAGTTTTACATACCTCTTTGAACGCTTTCCCCCACACACACAGATTCTTCCTTTTCTTCTCCAAATGGCGCTTATCTATAGACTGATTTCTTGGCACTCTTCTCTATTCTTCAAGTTTCCCTGTCTCCTGTGGGCTCCCTGGTTTTTTTTGTTTGTTTTTTCCTTTCTCAGTTTCTTCCCTATTTCAAAAATATCCTTACTTCGGGCTCTTTCAGGTAGCCAGTCCATGATCTTAGGGTTCCTGCTTTTTTTCATTTCTGATATGTAGGCTATACCAATGTCTGTTTTAGAGGAAACATTTCAAAATGACATACTGAATGTTTATAAACAGTATTACAAAAAGAGATGGCATAGATAGCGTAAGATTTAAACATAGAGGTTCCTAAGATTAAACTCAGTGTAGGAGCCAAGTAATTTATTCTCGAAAAGTTGCTTTACTGAGAATGATCACAAGATATGTAACACAATATCTTACTGTATATAATTTTTTATTCCAGTACCCTTCACCGACTAGTTGAGAGTAAATGCATGGTACTTAATTAATGGTGCAGATGAAAACCTTGTATTTGTAAAAGACATGTAATTGACAAGAACTATTCAGAGCAACACAATAGCAAATTACAGTATTGTTGACATTGTACTTGACCTTAGGGTTTGTGCTGCTGCTTGTAAGCTTTTTTTAGAAAGGAGAGGGAATAGTCAAAGTGGAGAAATTGGCAGCATAGACATTAATTATAGCTTACTTTAGTTCAAATAGATATACTCTAAGGGTGTGTCTAAACTACATGGCTCCGTCGATGGAGCCATTTAAATAGACAGATAGGCAAAGGCAAATGAAGCCGCAATTTAAATGATCGTGGCTTCATTTAAATTTACATGGCTGCCGCGCTGAGCCGACAAACAGCTGATCAGCTGTTTGTCGGCTTAGCGCGGCAGCCATGTAAATTTAAATGAAGCCACGATCATTTAAATTGCGGCTTCATTTGCCTTTGCCTATCTGTCTATTTAAATGGCTCCATCGACGGAGCCATGTAGATTTGTTTTTTTGGCAAAGGCAAATGAAGCCGCGATTTAAATGATCGCGGCTTCATTTAAATTTACATGGCTGCCGCGCTGAGCCGACAAACAGCTGATCAGCTGTTTGTCGGCTTAGCGCGGCAGCCATGTAAATTTAAATGAAGCCGCGATCATTTAAATCGCGGCTTCATTTGCCTTTGCCAAAAAAACAAATCTACATGGCTCCGTCGATGGAGCCATGTAGTTTAGACGTACTAAAGAAATAACATGGTTACCAAAGCAATGAGCATTGCATAAATGTCTAGGCAGAGAGAAAGGTAGAAGTAGGGGCAGGGAAGAATTTAAATCTTTAGATTTGTTTGGATGTGGATGCATTTTACATAAAAGCAGAAACTGGTATTTTGAATTTCTTGTGTTCAGGAATGTAAGTTGAGCAAAATTTACCCTTTTATTAATCTGCCAAATGTCACTCCTTTAATTTATTGTATTTCCTGATACAGCTCTGATCATAACATTATTATTGACATATTTATCTTTCACCTGGAGCTATATGCGCATTGGTAGTCTGCACTATGGTTTTCTGTTCAAGCAGAATGGTTATAGTTGTATTGTATAGCAGCGGTAAATGCCCTAAGCAGTCTTTCATCTTAATTAGAATTGTGAAGAACTCACACAGGTGGATATTTTTAATTTCAAACATCTCTAAGAAAATCACTGTGACACATAGGATGCCGGAAGAGTATCCGGTTCATGTAGAAGGAAAATTATTTAATAGATTTCCCAAGTGATAAGAACAGTTAGCAGATTTTGGCAAAATGAACCAACTTCCTTAAAATTTTGTACCTGTAATAGTTATCATCTAGATGTGTTTTTTTTCCTTAAAATTAGGTGCTTGAATTTAGAATGATAGGGAAGAAAAAATTCTTCTTGCTCAGTGATCTGAAATGTTATATGTTTCTCACTGTAAACAAATAATGAATTATAGAGCATTTGAAAATGAGTACTTGATTACAGTGTAGGCATTTTAGCTCTTGTGTATGTGTGTCAGTCTGTAATACTTCCATGTATTAGAGTTCTTGGTTCTCTATGCCATTTTGCAGTTTCAAACTTACTTTCATATGGATTAAACAATCATGAAATCTTTGAATAATTTCTGTCTGTTTCTAGCAGCATATAGAATTTTTTTTTTAATGTCTGTATGCACAGCATACTCAACTTTTTTTGAAATAATAAACCTTCTATGGCACCTAGCATTGGCAGAAGACAGGATACTGGGCTTGATGGACCTTTAGTCTGAACCAGTATGGCCAGTCTTATATACATTGTTCAGATTCCTCCTATAGATCAGTGAACATGGAATGGGTGAAAGTTTGTATCCTTTACTCACTTGCTTTTATCCTTCTTGAGAGTTTGTCAGATTTGTCACCTGATCTCTGACTTCCTAAATAAAATGAGGGACTTTATTCTCTTTACAATCAAACATGTATGCATAGCTATTGGGGGGTTGTCTGTCTACTTATGACTGAACTTGATAATGCAGGGCAGTTTTATTTAAAAAAAATAAATCAGTGCACACTATTTTAAAATAGAGCTTGGTTTTGCTGGGTCCAGTGGCCAGCAGTTCAGAAGCACCAATTCTGGAAGGAACAAAGAAATTCTGCACAGATCATTAATTCTGCTTTGGACAGTGGTGCAAAATTTCTCCAAGAGTATCTTGAGAATTATCACCCACTGCTTCATCCAAACACACTTGTTTACCAAGAGAATTTGGTATTTTGTACTGATTAATAGAGTTAATACATAGAACACTTCATATATAGTAATATATTATTATCTTGATTGGGTAAATATTGAAAAATATTAGCTTATTTTCATACTGACTGGGTGAAAAATACTATTTTAAAAATGTTTAGTTGTCTTCCTCCTCTTATGTATTCTATTTTACATATTCAAGCTTTGGCTCTGTTAACAATTAAAAATTACCTGCTAACGGTGACTTCTTTAAAGAAAGCAGATATGTAAAATAGTTAACTAATAGTAGACTCTAATTTTAGGTTAGAAATGTGTGTTAATTAGGGTTTGATCACATAATCATAGCATTTGTGCTCTTTTTTTTTTACTGCCTCTTGCAGGAGACTGCTGGTAATGTCACATCTACTCTTAAGTACTGCTTTCCCTATAGGACAGTGGTTCTCAAAGTGTGGTCCACGGATCATTAGTGGTCCATGACTATCTTGCAGGTGGACCGCATGCTCAGGGCTCGCCCTTGTCTGCAGTGAGGAACCTGCACTGGTGCTCTAGCAGCACACTCTCCCTCCTTCACCCCCTGGCAGGCTGGAGCACCAGTGCTGGCTTCTTGCTGAGTGCAGGGGCGAGCCTTGCAGGCCAGATCCAGCTTGCAGGGGGAGGAAGCAGCTCTGTGTGCTACCGCTACCCCTCCCCCTAGCTGGGGGGACGGCAGTGCAGGAAACCACTCATCCTACTTCCCTACTGCTCCCATTGGCCAGAATCTCAGCCAGTGAGAGCAGCGGGGGGGCTGTGCCTGGGAGTGGCAGGAGGCACGGAGCCAGGGAAGTGCCCCCATCCCTCTCATGCCCAGATCCCGTATTCCCATCCCATTTCTTCACTCTCCCTCCTACCCAGATCCCCCTCTACTCCACTTCTGCACCTACCTCCTGGTCAAATCCTGCTCCTCTTTCACCCTCCCCCACCCTGTACCCACTTTATCATCATGGGTGGTTGGCTGGTGATCCACAGAAAGGTTTGCATTGAGCGGGAAGGTCCACACGTCAAAAAGTTTGAGAACTACTGCTATAGAAGAAGCAGTGATTTAATGTTGACAGAGTATGTGCTGTTTTATTTGGATGTTGAAGGTACCTAAAGGAAAACTATTGTGCAGTACAGTGACATTAAGGTGCTCTTAAGTCTACTACTAAGTGTGTCCTAAGGAGGGAGAAGTAAAGAGAGCTGCTTACAAATTGTTTAAAAGTATTAAAAATGGATATTCTGTTCTACTACATCTGTTGGCACTAACTGAGAAGCCAAAATTGAGCTTGAAATATATGGGCTCAGATTTAGATAATTGTGACTATTGAAGACAAACGTGAAACTCCTCTGCAAAACTTTCTCATGTAAATGGAAGCAGAAGGGTCATTAAGAAAAAGTAAAGCTCTTGAGATAAAAGCAAATCTAGTTGCCTGTCTTAAGTGGAAACCTTTATTCCTTCCTGTAATCCTCTTATTCAGTCTGTGGGTGGAGTTCCTTCTCTCAAAGAACCATAAATTAAAAGAATTCTGAAGGACTCAATTAATGAAAATTAATTATCTTATTTGTCATATTTTTGCAAAATTCAAAAATGTCTTTTTACTGCATATTTTTAAGGTTCTCAGTGTCAAGAGCCCTGTGAATCAGCCAGGGGAGTGATGCACTGAGGTATTTGGATTTCAAGTGAAGACATTAGTAGTGCATAGTTAATAAGGATGTAATAGTCTTGTCCTTTAAACAATTAACCGATAAACAAGTGCTTGTGAGTTAATACTATCAGCTACATGCAGTACACCTCCCCCCCACCACATGGCTCTGCAGCGAAATTTTTTAGTTGGCTCACCGACCGGTTGGCTCAGTCCTGGCTTGTGCCAGGTCCCAGCAACTGCCTCCGCTGCTGCTCTGCATTATTAGGGAACTGAGCCCGCCTTCCTGTGTGCCAGCTCCCCAGACTCCTAACAGTGCAGAGCCGCAGTGGGGATAATTGCTGGGACCTAGCTCGAGCCAAGACTGAGTGCTTGCAATGCGCTAACCCTTATCAATTAATCATGCAGTAGAAACATTTTTTGTCAACTACACGATTGACGAATTACACACTTCTTAATATCCCTAATAGTTAATGTCTACAACAGAAATGCATCTACCCTAAAAGTAGTGCCAGTAGCACTGTGTGGTGTATGTGTGGGCAGGGAAGTTTCTCGTGATTAAATAAATTTATTTCAAGTAAGGTTAATTTTGAATGTTGATCAAATATCTGGGATTAGCGCCCCCATCTTGAAACTTTCAATGGAAATTTCAGAAGGTTTTCTGTTTTATACTTCATTTGTTGTTGCAAAAGGATATGCTGGTTCCATTTTGTTGGTGTATGAACAGAGATGAGAAGAAATGAATATGAGCAGGTTTGTGGATATGCATGATTTCAAGCCTCAATTATTTCTTGTTTCTTCAAAATATTTGTACTTACAATGTTTCTTTCAAAACTTTCAGTGCTGCATTTGATACAGTCCTTGGGATAAATGTTGCAGTAAAGAAGCTGAGTCGTCCGTTTCAGAACCAAACACATGCAAAAAGAGCGTATAGGGAGCTTGTTCTTTTAAAATGTGTCAATCACAAAAACGTAAGTTAGTTTTGTAAGAATTTAATTTATTTTCAAATAGTGCTCCCATTAGATGCTGCAGTATTGTGATTGTATGTGTGAAATAAAACCAGTGAAATAAGAAATAAGATATGTTACTAATAGACCAGTCTAGTGTGACTGTCAAAGTTGAGCGATAAGGTAAATAAGAAGTGTAAAAAGAGAAACTGAATTTTTGAAATGGTTTCAATAACCCTATTGTCTTGTTCCATGTTTAGTGTATAAAAATTCATAAATTTAAGATGTCTTTGTTTTATTTTTCTTTATAGATAATTAATTTGTTAAATGTATTTACACCACAGAAATCACTTGAAGAATTTCAAGATGTGTAAGTACTTCTTAGGCTTTTCTTGATTGATATTGTCTTGAATTTAGAGAAATATTCTATGCTACAACTTTTCTATCTGTGAAGAAATATGGTACATAGGATAGAATCCTGGCTGGTAATTAATATTTACATGTTACAATGAGCTCCTTGAGAAAATATGTAGCTATAATTGTTGTGATATGTGTGTAGTAATAGAAAATAATGGGAAAAGTAAAAAGAATGTTCCTCTTTTCATCAACCACCTTTACTGACTGCATATGGATCTGTAATTATCACAGTTGTTTTCCTTTAGATAGGACAGTCAAATAAATCACGTCAAGCCAGTAACTTAATGTAGATACCTGACATGGTCTTCTGAACTCAAGCACCCAGAACCCCAATACTTTCAGCTTCAATTAAAGCTGACTATATTTCTTGTACATGGCAGTAAGATATTCATCAAAGTATTCAAGGCTCCAATCACTGTTATGTTAATGTTTGTGTAGAAGCAGCTTTAGAATGGATTTATTTGATGATGGGATTAAAAAAAGGATAGTACATAAACTTGGAAATTAATAATTGTTCTTTATTTTAAAAAATGCTTTCCCTAATTTTGTTGAGGTTAAGTCAGGACATAATGGAAAAAAATCTCAATGTGACATGTTTATTTTTTCATTCTTCTTCAAGGAGTGTTCCTGTGGATGCTCCACCTGAGATGTTTTGGCGTCGCAGCACGCCTGGCTGGAAGATTTTACTAACAGTGGCTTTGACAGCTAACTCGCAGAAGTGCTACACGTGCTAGGCAGCTAATGCACATGTGCGAGATACTGTCACCTCAGTTTCTTCTCTGCCACTGGTGGCATCAGTCAGAACCCACAGTGCACTCTGCAGTTTTCTTCTCAGAGACAGCTAGTCATTTCCTTTACTTAGCCTTTTCATAATATTTTTATGATATTTTTACTATCCTTCAAAAAAAACAAAAAGACCAAGTGTCTCCCTCAGACACGGAGACAGGTGCGGAGTCTGTGCCCCATGCTTCCCCTCAGGGGGACTCCTCTCTCCTGCGCTGAGGAGTTTCTTTTCCCTCAGCTTCAGATCCAGCCTTTTCACATAAGGCTGAGAGCGATTTTTTTTCCACAGATTTAAAAAAAAATTCTTAATCTTTTTTGCAGCATTCTCTCAATTTGGGGCTCTGTTTTCTTCCCACGGGCTGTCAATCAGCTGCCAGACTAGCGCACTCAGTGCATACATTGTCTGGACAATTACAGCGCAGTTTACTGTCATCAGTGGAAATTTGGCAGCCGTGGCCAGGAGAGCCAGAGGGTTTTCAGCTCAACCAGTTCTCCCTCAAAGGTTCCCTCAGACTAGTGTCGGACCCTATGTAACGGGGTGTGGTCACAGACAACCCCTGGGAGGTGCCTCCTGGGGTGCTGACACGGCCATGGCCATTGCCACTCACCTTCCCGCTCTCTGGGGCTCCTCACTGCCCAGTCCTGCTGAGCCAGCTCCGCTGGTCTCCCCCAGCCAAGGCCCCGAGTTGAGGTCCTGTACCCACCGAGAAGCAGTACTGATACTGAACCACTTCAGGTCTAAGGAGAATGCAGGTTAGGGCCCAGCCTCCTGAGAGAGCACTCCCCAGATGGGATCAAACCCCAAAGAATTGGGTAAGCCCCCTTTAGCAATGAAAGGGGGAATGTGCACACTGGTTGCTCCCCTTCCCCCCCCCCCCCCTGGTTGCCTTTCCAGGTAACAATCGCTTGCACTGGGTTTGACAGAAAATAAAAATGGTTTTATTAAGTTGAAGCAGTAGGATTTAAGTAGTAATAAGTGAAAGTAGGCAGAGCAAAGTAGGTTACAAATCAAAAGAAACAAAACCACTTGGCTAATTCTATATTGTACCCTCAGTACAAACTTAATCAAACTCACCCTAAAACCTCTTTTCCAGCCACCCCTCCGCCCCAAACCAGGGCTGTCTTCCCCACCCTGGGGTCTCAGGCTCCTTCCTTCAGGTGCAGCCTAGCCAAAAGACATAGACGTCTCCGCTCCTATTCTTTTTGATAAAGGATGGAGGCCACTCCCTACCAATCACTGCTCAGGCTGAAGGACAAAAGAGATAATTTAACAGTTGAGGGTAACACCCTCCATGTCTCTAATTCATACATTTGAAACTCACAAATTATTCCCCACTCCCTGTGTCTAATTTTACACATACAAATGATACATACAACAAAGTAAGATAAAGAGAACCAGTGGATCATGACATGAAGATCGATGGGTTACATGAAATAATTTGCTCAAACCACCTTTGAGTTATTTATATTCATGTCCATGAGACCATTTCATAAATCATGGCGGGGGGGGGGAGGAGGAGGTCTGTCACACCCCGCATCCCAGTTATTACTATCACCAGCGGCGATGTCAGATAAGGCAGTTCCCCCCTGCCGCAGCTGCGAGCTCTGCCTCTTCCAAACAGAAGAGAGCACATGTAGCAGCAAACAGGGAATCTCCTTCACACAAAAGAGGGTGTTCCCTGAGTCCTAAGCCAGCTCTGTCCCCTGCTGGGGCTCCGGACAAGCGCTTACTGGGGCAGCATTCACCCATAGAGCCCCCAGGGTCTAAGGACCTGGCCAATGTGCCTAAACATGTTGATAAGCCCAAGCCTGTCTCACCTGAACAGCACAAGGCTATAACAGCATTGTCAGCCCTACCGACATCAAGAAGTGCTGTACATAAGGGCACTTCAGGGACCACAGTGCTGTTACTGCCTCTAGCACCTGCCTCATCCCCTCTGCTCATGAAGACAAAGCATACACCAGCACAATATTCTTTTACCACTTATGCCTCTTTTTTGCCCTTATACGTCCAGAGACCTATGCTCTCTTCAGTGCCTGCAACACCCTTGTTTGGCACTGGCACTGATTCCTCCTCTCCCCCCTTCCCTGTTCCAAGGGGTTTTCCATGTCTCTGACTCGCACTTCCATATCACCATTATCTGGTGAGGAGGATCAGGCTTCTATCATGACCTTGTCATGAACTCTTCCCAGACACTCTATGCTGAGGCGCAAATTCCTTCGCTCACAGCCAGCCTTACCACAATGGCAACCTGTGCATTGGCTACCACCACCTATGCCAGTGCTCCCCACATGGCCCTACCGCTCCAGGCCTACATTCACTGTGTCTCTTGAAGCTTCAAGGGACCAGACAGACTTCAATCAACCACTAAGTGACGAAGAATCCTCTACTTCCTGTCACCCACTTACACAGATGTCTCCTCCATCCCCAGGGGACACACTCATGCCTCCACAAGCCCTATCTGGGGACGATTTCAAGGCTTTCCAAGACCTTTTCAAGAGGGTAGCTGAGGTCCTCGAAGTCTCGTTAACCACAATGGCGAGAGACCCAGCATAAACTTATGAGCATCCTCCATACCTCTTCATCCACGAGGCTCGCTCTCCCCATGGACCCCACCCTCATGGACCTAGCCAAGCAACTTTGGCAAATTCACCCAGTGGGCAAGAAGGCAAATAGGAAATATTACATGGCTCCTCAGGGTGCTGAGGTTTATTCTCACATCCCTCCCCTAACTCATAGTAATTGAGGCAGTGAAGCAAAGGAGCAAGCAAAACATTGCCAACTCCACCCCTCCTGATAAGGAGTGGAAACGTCTAGACATAATGGGCAGACGGTCATACTCCTCTGCCTCCCTACAGCTACGTATTTCTAATTACACCGTGGTGATGGCAAAATACACTCATCACATATTTGAGCAAATCACAGATTTTATTCAATTCCTCACAGATGGGAAAAAATAGAACAAATGATAGCTAATAGCAGTGAGGGTATCCTGACAGCTAGAATAGCCCTCCAAGCTGCTTTGGACTCAGATGACCTTGCCATTTCTGTGGTGATGAGAAGAGCTTCCTGGCTCCACCTCTCTGGTTTCCCAAAGGAGGTCCAGACGAAGGTGAAAGACCTTCTGTTCAAGGGCCTGAAGCTCTTTACTGATGGCACAGATGCTTCTTTACATTCTCTGAAAGACTCCAGGACCACACTTAAAATGCTCCAGGCTCCTGCACCAAAATGCAAACAAAACAAACCTTACGTTCAGAGATACAGACTTTCCCTCTTTGGTCATTCTCAAAGACAATATAACCCTAGAAAGCGCCAACGTCAAGGGAGAAGGCAGCAGCCAGCCGCTCAACCCACTCCATCTCAGTCCTCTAACTCTAGGCAAACATTTTGAAGGTCTGGTCGAGAGCCGTCAGATTAATCTTCCCTCACCCAAGCCTCCTATCACCCTATTATCCAACCACAGATTAGCACCATTTTACCATTAGTGGTGCCCCATAACTACAAATAGTTCTGGATGTGATAAAGTTCAGATACAGCATCCCCTTCCTATCTCCTCCCAAAACCGAAACACCCACCCCCATCCCTCTTCAGGGACCCATCTCACAAGACTATTCTATGTCAAGAGATCAACCACGTCCTCCATATCAATGCAGTAGAAAGAGTTCCACAACAGTATCAAAACACCGGCTTGTATTCCTGGTATTTTTTTTCACAGAGAAGTCAGGGGGCAGAAGACCCATAGTCCCATTCTTGATCTCATAGCTCTCAACAGATACGTCCTGTACCAACACTTCAAGATGGTTACCCTCTCCACCATCATACCCTCCCTCAACAAAGACGACTAACTAGCGAATTTCAACCTCCAAGATGAGTACTTCCATGTGCCCATATACCCTGCGCACAGGAGGTACCTAAGATTCACAGCAAGGGGACAACATTTTCAGTATTCAGTACTACCTTTCGGCCTATCCATAGTGCTGAGGGTCTTTTCCAAGGTCTTGGCAGTTGAGGTGGCCCACCTACAAAGACTGGGAGTGTCAGTTTATCCATATCTCGATGACTGCCTTATAAGGGGCAAGTCGTTCCAAGAAACTTAATCACAAAACCATGTCTCTGTTCCATTCACTTGCCTTCCAAATCAACTTCTCCAAATGCCAGCTCCAACCAACAAAAGTTTATAGGAGCTCAACTCGATTGCATCCGTGCTGTTGCATCCTTACCCCATCACATGTTCCTTGCAACACTGCAACTAGTACAACTTCATACCACAGCTCCACAACTTCCTGCTAGGTTGTCCCGCGTACCAGATTACGCATGAGGCCTCTACAACACTGGCTGAGCACAGAATACAGCCCGTGGTAAACAACCTATACAAGCTGGTCTCACTTCCAGACATGGTCAAATGTTCCTTTCAGTGGTGGTCAGAATCACAAAACGTGTGCGCTGGGGTCCCCTTCCACAGGCAAGCCCCATCATTCACCATTACCACAGACTCATCACAACAGGGCTGGGGAGCTCACCTGGGTACCCTCACCACACAAGCACGGTGGACCCACACAGAGACCACGATGCACATCAATGTGCTAGCTTCAGGCAGTATACTACATCTGCCAGCATTTTGTGAATTGTATTTCCAACTCCACAGTGCAGATCTTTATGGAAAACCAAACTGAAATGTTCTACATAAACAGGCAGGGAGGGGCGAGATCCTACCCCCTCTGCAGAGAGACAGTTTGATTATGGACTTGGTGCATTGCTCACAACATAACATTAATTGCCTCACATCTCCCCAGCAAAGACAACATAACCACAGACAGCCTCAGGAGCTTCTTTCCTGTGAGCCCCAAATGGGAACTAGCCCCATCATTCTGCATCAAATCTTTACGCAGTGGGGCTTCCCACAGATTGACTTGTTTACTACCAGTGTCAACAAAAAGTGTCTATGCTACTGTTCGCATGTGGGCATTGGAACACAATCCCTAGGGGATGCATTCACGATACAGTGGGGGACAACCCTACTATATGCTTTTCCCCCATACTGCTTCTCCATCAAGAATTCACCAAGGTACGCTTAGACAATGCCAATGTCATACTGATAGCGCCAGACTGGTCAAGACAAACATGGTATACATACCTACTGCAGACGTCAGCCGAGTGCTCTCAGCGTCTCCCCCGGCTCTCATATCTCCTCACCCAATGTTGCAGTTGCCTTCGGCATCCTCATCTCCACACCCTGAACCTTCAGGCCTGGCTCCTCAATGGCTCACTTCACTAGAAGCAGAATGTACAGACAAAGTCCAGCATAGCCTTAGCAGTCAGCGAACATCCACTCCCAAAACTTACCTGTACAAGTGGCGTTGATTCTCCACCTGGTGTCCCCTCCACAATCTTGACCCATCTTCCACTCCATTACCCACGGTCCTGCAATACGTAACCAAACTCAAAAACTTGGGGGTTTCAGTCAGTTCCCTGAAGGTTTACATTTCTGCCATAACCACTTTACACCAGCCAATAGACAGCAAGTCGCTATTCCCCTCCACAATCTTGACCCATCTTCCACTCCATTACCCACGGTCCTGCAATACGTAACCAAACTCAAAAACTTGGGGGTTTCAGTCAGTTCCCTGAAGGTTTACATTTCTGCCATAACCACTTTACACCAGCCAATAGACAGCAAGTCGCTATTCACACATCCCACGACCAAAAAGTTCCTCAAAAAATTGCAGAATACTTATCCACCAATCAAACCTCCGGCTCTGGCCTAGGACCCCAATTTGGTTCGGAGGGCCGTAAACCGTTTGAAGCTATGGCGACCTGCTGCAGGCTCCTCCTTTCCATGAAGGTGGCCTTACTAGTGGCAATAAAATCCACCAGGAGAGTCAGTGAAATTGCGGCTCTCACGGCAGACCTTCCTTTCACCAGATTCCATAAGGACAAGGTAGTACTCTGGCCTCACCCTAAGATCCTGCCGAAGCTGCCCTCCTCTTTCCACTTTAATGAACCTATTAACTTACCAGTCTTTTTTCCCAAACCCCACACCAACCAGACAGAGGCCATACTCCACACACTTGATTTATGGAGGGCCATTGCGTTGTACCAGGAAAGAACCAAGCAAATTTGGAAAACCAAAAGGTTATTTATATCAAACACCGAACGAACCCAAGGACTCCCCATCTCCTCCCAGAGGATCTCAAAATGGATAGTGGAATGCAAAAAAATAATATATTCAGTCTTCGGTAAAGAACCACCTGCCCAACTTGCAGCTTCAACAGCCTGTGTACAGGGCATCTCCCTGTCCAGTATATGCAAATCGGCCACCTGGTCCTCTACTAATACATTTGCTGCTCACTATGCTATGAACTCCTACCTGTCCAGAGAAACTGCGTTTTGACATACAATCCTTACCACGGTCCAAAAAGACACTACACCGTCCGAAGCTCCCACCTCCAGTGGATAAACTGCTTGTAGTCACCTAAAGAGGAGCACCCACAGGAACACTCCTCGAAGAAGAGGAGAGGGCTATTCACCCTTGAACTGACATTGAAGGTGGGTATCCCTGTGGGTGCTCCACCATCCACCCTTTCTCCCCTCTGCTTCGGTATTATTTCCATACTTTTCCGGGGCAGAAAAGGAACTGAGGTGACCGTATCTCATGCATGCGCATTAGCCTCCTAGCACGTGTAGCGCTTCTGGACATGTGCGAGCTAGCTGTCAAAGCCACTGCTGGTAAAATCTTCCGGCCAGGCGTGCTGCAGCACCAAAACACCTAAGATGGAGCACCCACAGGGATACCCATCTGGAAGAACATCAGCTACTGCAGAGGGTGAGTAATCTTCTCTTCTGTCTGTAACTTTTGTTACATTAAGGGACACAGTATCAACTACCAGTCCTGCTCTTAAAGTGTGTTTGATAGAATTGAAGGTTTTCATGTGCTCTTCTACTCTCTTTTTAATGTATACATCTATTTTAAAAAGTATGTTTATTTCTGTTTTTTTCGTTGTTGCTGTTTTTAGATCATTGTTTTAAACAAGTTGAATGGTGACATTCAGCATTCCAACACTAATTTTTCAGTTACTTTTTTGTGGTCCTACTCCAAAATATGTTTCAATGTTAGTTATAAAATACCTGAGATGAACTTTTTTAATCTTAAATTTCTTTATGCTGTAGGTATTTGGTTATGGAACTGATGGATGCTAACTTGTGCCAGGTTATTCATATGGAGTTGGATCATGAAAGAATGTCCTACCTTCTCTACCAGATGTTGTGTGGTATCAAACATCTCCATTCAGCTGGTATTATCCACAGAGTAGGTAGTGTTTTGACAGTGACATTGACAACTTGCATCTTTAAAGGTGGCATTTATATGAAATTTGTTTTTTTTCTGGTTATCTTGTAAATCAGTATTTCATTTTTTATTAATTTTATTAACAGTAAAGTAAAAACTATATCTAGTTTCAAGGACAGACCAGATGTGATAAACTCCAAAAACCATACTAGTTCTACGGGTCCTGACACAGCATTTTCTGCAATTCTTTTTATTAAGTGAGACTAAATTTTAATGCTGATTAGGGGAAAATGTAAAATATTCATATTGATAGGTGAAGGAAGAAGAGTAAGGATGCTCCAAGAACCTTATGACTAAAACAAGAGAATAATTTATATTAAAAATGAAGTCTCTTAAAAATTATGTACAACAATAATATGAATAATCAGGGCTCGACAAACCGCTGTTTCTACTCGCCCGTGGTGAGTAGATTTCAGCCGGTTGCTCCGTGTGCGCCATTCACCGGCGCTGCGCGCATGCGCGTTGCGGGGCTGACGAGTAGCTCTTGCCACAGTTTGTTGAGCCCTGTTAATAATAATAAAATCAGTAAATGGATGCTCAAGATTTCACTGCCCTGCACAGCCAACATCCTGCCTTTCTGTAGCCCTGTTAGGCCTATTTTCTGTCCCAGTCTGCATGACTAATCCTGCTCCTTTATGGATTCAAGTTCCCTGCATTCTTGCATTTTAATTTCTTCCATATAATCCTGGAACTTCTTGCATTCACCCTCTCCTTCTTGGGGTCCTTGTTAAAACACAATCAAGAGAGTTTATAAATTCTGGAATGGACACAAAATTCCCTCATCTCACTGTTCCTCTGCTGTCAACAGATATCTGTGAAACCCATTGGCAAAATCTCCTATCCCTCTCTTGTGCTGGTGCACATAGAGGATGACCACTTACTGGTAGCATTGGTAACTCCATCACACCCAGTGGTAAAGGTCTCAGCAGTAGCGATCTGAAGGCTCCTACCCTGCTGATGACCCATGTAGGTGATGGTATGATGTCACATACTGGAATTTTTATCTTTTCAGTTTGACTTCTCAACCTAAGAAATTATATACACACTAAAATATTTTTAGCATAGTTTGTTGGCAAAGTCAAGCATTTAACTGTTGGAGACACAACCTTAACTAGTCTCCACAACCCTGATTTGATTCTTAGAGCATGTCCATTCTGTGCTCTGAATGAGGCAGTTCCTACATAAAAACTAAATATGGTATACTAAGTATTGTATACTAAATATAGTATGTGATCATGTAATTGAAGAGTGATTTGTAGTGCATATATACAAGAGACCCTAATTAAAATTGTTTGGATAATCTTAATTCTGTCATTTCCTGACTTTTGAGTGCTTGATTTAGTAATCTTAATATAGGTTGAACCTCTCTAGTCTGGCACTTTCTGGTCCAGCAGTGTCCATGGTCTGGCATGATTTTAATTAGCTGGATATGCACTAATCATGAGTGTGTCCAAGTTTACTGTGATCCCGTAAAGTTTGTTTACAGCCACCAGTCATGGCTCTCAGTGTTCTGTGCTGTTATTTAGCTCTGATTTTACTCCTAGAACACTGGAACTGGAAGGGACCTCGAGAGGTCATCAAGTCCAGTCCCCTGCTCTCATGGCAGGACCCAGTACTGTCTATGCCATCCCTGATATATGTCTATCTAACCTGCTCTTAAATATCTCCATCGATGGAGATTCCACAACCTCCCTAGGCAACTTATTCTAGTGTTTAACCACCCTCGCAGTTAGGAAGTTTTTCCTAATGTCCATCCTAAATCTCCTTTGCTGCAAGCCCATTGCTCCTTGTCCTAAATGTCTTCTAAGAGTTCAGTAAGCAGTTGGAAGTGTTGGTAATGCCACTAGACCATATTGAACTCTTGGGGTTAGGCAAATTTTCTGGTTCAGCACCAATTAGGTCCTGAAGATGCTAGACTAGAGAAGTTCAACCTGCAATGCTCTTTCAGAGTATTTTTATGCGCATGTAACTTGTACATAAAGTAACTGAAAGAATGCATGCAATGAATGTATATTTAGCTGCTTATGCTCAGTACTGTGTCGTAGCTTATAATGATTTGTATGGAAGGTTGTATGTTGTCTCTCAATATTTTGAGCCTAACTGAAATAATTTTTCTCTAGGATTTGAAACCCAGCAATATAGTAGTAAAATCAGATTGTACGCTCAAAATCCTTGATTTTGGACTGGCAAGAACAGCATGTACTAATTTTATGATGACGCCATACGTAGTAACACGGTATTACAGAGCACCAGAGGTTATCTTAGGCATGGGATACAAAGAGAATGGTAAGTTGCAGTAATGAAGAAGTAAACCTTTTATCTAAGGTGCATTCTCAGAAGAATCTCTGGCAAGACACTTAAGTCATCTTAATTTGTAACAAGATGTTGGGTATACTGAGATTTGCAGAGTAAAACATTTAGGCTACGTCTAGACTACATCTAATTTTTTTCGTAAAAGGGATGTAAATTAGATGTATTGGAATTGCTAATGAAGCGGGGATTTAAATCTCCCCCGCTTCATTAGCATAAAAATGGCTGCTGCTTTTTTTCGGCACGGAGCTTTGCCGGAAAAAAGCGCCAGTCTAGATGCTGATCTTGCAGAAAATAAAGCCTTTTCCGAAAGATCCCTTATCCTAAGCTTTTCCACGATGGCTACGTCAAGACTACATCCCTTTTTCGTAAAAGGGATGTAAATTAGACATATCGCAATTGCTAATGAAGCGGGGATTTAAAGGGATAAGGGATCTTTCGGAAAAGGCTTTATTTTCCGCAAGATCAGCATCTAGACTGGCACTTTTTTCCGTCAAAGCTCCGTGCCGAAAAAAAGCAGCAGCGATTTTTATGCTAATGAAGCGGGGGAGATTTAAATCCCCGCTTCATTAGCAATTGCAATATGTCTAATTTACATCCCTTTTACAAAAAAAGGATGTAGTCTAGACGTAGCCATTGTGGAAAAGCTTTTGTCTATACTTTGTGTCTTTTTCTCTGTCACTTCTTCTCTCTTTATCCTACCCTTCCATTCTCACTTTCTTCACTCCGCATTCTTCTTCATTCCTATTACCACTATTTTGTCCTCGAAAAAGAATACATATAGTTTTTAAAAATCTAGCAAAACCATCATAGGTTAATAATTAACTTGTTGTAAGATCTCTTCTTTCCCCTTTTTACCACCTAAACATTTGTTGCTTCATTTCTGTCTTGTCTTCTATTTAAACTCTCTGGGGCAGAGAGTTTAATTTATATAATCCTAGGTCTGTGTAGCACCTACGACTCTTGGAATACTGTATTATTAATACATTTTAAGCATCTTAAAGCTTTCAGGAAGGCAATGTTCTTGAACTTCATTCCCACATCAAAAAAAGTTTTCAGCTGATTATTAGGCAGATGATATCCTGTATTCTAAGCTAGACCTTCAGCCCAATGCATCCCTTTTCTTCATCTTCCTTAGCCTGGATTAGCATATATGGCATGGGAGCATACCTTTTCTGAGTTGTAAAGCTTTGTTGTGATTTCTAACTTGGATGACAGAATTTTCCCAAGTGAGATGTCATGATGGTCTATCTGATATGAAGGGCTGTTGACAGCACAGTAATTTAAACATATAAAAATAAAGAGTACTTGGTGTGGATCAGAAATGTTTATTTAATAAGTGTATGGTAGAATCCTGAATTGGACAAGAACGTTCAACATAACATTTAGAATAATAAACTAATCTATAAAACTGTAAATATGCAGTTTACATTTTAAAAATTAAAAAAACTGTGTGGTAATTTAAAAACATTCTTTAATCTTTTATCCTTGTTGCGCCTAACATATGATAGTGGATATCTGGTCTGTTGGGTGCATAATGGCAGAAATGGTCCTCCATAAGGTCCTGTTCCCAGGAAGAGATTGTATCCTTCTAAACAGTGGTTTCAGGGATTATAAATAAAAGTAATTGAAGATTTAAGAACTGATCAGAAAAGCATTTTATAGAGTTAAAGAAAATCCAAAAATTTGAGGCCTACATCACACAAATTTAATTATTATAAGTATAAAACATTAAAAAGTGTCTGTTCTGTACTGTTGAGAAACTCGTGTGTTAGCAGTTTGTTTTTCCGCCACCTTGTGTTTTTATTGTAAACAATAGGGTTTTCACATTTTTTTCCCACTTTTATTCATGACACTTCATAATTTGATCATTTCATTTTTACTTTCAGTTGATATCTGGTCAGTTGGGTGCATCATGGGAGAATTGGTGAAAGGTTGTGTGATATTCCAAGGCACTGATCGTATCCTTCCCTAGTCATCCCTGAATCGTTTTTCACATCCACCAAAGATGCACAATTATTTTTACAGTATTTATTTATCTATATAAAATAATAAAAGAAAACAAAATATTTCACTACTATATTTTAATGATCTATTGTAATGTTTGAAATTAGTGTCATTGACCTTCCTTCTTTCTCCTACTTACTTAGCATCATTTAACGCAATCCTTATTGCTAGAATACTTCCTATTCATACTAATAACTTCTCATTTTGTAGCTTTAAATAGATACTAAGTTAAAAAGAAAATTTCCTTGTCCGTGTTTGCAATAGTTAAATCATTAAAACTGAAATCTTAAATTTACTTACCACATTTTGCTTCTAACATTTCTGTGTTTGCACAGTGAAAATAATCCTATTCTCAGTCGTTTGTTTTTAGTCAAAGGTTCTTTTTGTTTGTTTTTATGGTTCTTGTATAATAGCACACCACAGTGCTGCAGTGTCTCATTTGCAAACGCTGCAGAAGGGAGACATACATTTAAAAGCAAATACCTTTTTCTTTTGGAATTTCTTTTAACATTATGGAAACATTTGTATGGGGTTTTATAAAAGTTTGTTCTTACAAACTTGACATCTTGGTCCGAATTTTTCTCAACAATATCTTATTTTAATATATAATAGGAATTCTTTGTATCTAGTGTCTCTAATATATATGCATCTAGAATGGTTTAGATGTTTCAAGTTGCCATGACCTGTAAGGATCAAGAAAGACTTTTAACTCATTAAATATATCTTATTAAACTGTCTTTGTCAATAGATGTACTGTAAAAAAATTAATTTGATGTATTTTGAAGCCTTTTTCTATAGGCAAAGTACAAAAATATAACTTATTTACTTGTTTCCAGTTTATAATGTAAAATTTGCAGACTCAAATAGGAAGAAAATGTAATTATTCAAAAAATGAGGGGCTTAATGGAACATCTAATGCTGCATTAATACATAATTTTTTTTTTTAACCCCTATAAAGTAGATTCTGTGAAGGTAAAACCTCTTTTAAAAACAAATACATAACTATGTAGGAATTTAAATCTGAATGCTAAATTCATGACACTAATCTTCAGAAGCTGATTAACATGCATTAATTTAACAGCACAAAATAATTGATACATTTTTTTCACCTCTTCTTCACTTGCATATTTGTTTTATCCTTCAAAGCCTTTAGACCAACCTAACACAATTCTTCATGTATGTTGTATATCTTCTCACTTGCATGTTAACATTGATTATCCTGATTGCTGTCTTGATTTATTCATAAATAAATCAAGGGAATTTTTTTTCATACCTGTAAAATATGTATATAATTTTCCTTTCTGGAAGGGTAAATAAAGCTCCACCAATCTATATTTAATGTAACACATACTATCTATATCAGTGGTCTTCAACCCTTTTTAGCCACAAGATCACTTTTTCAATTTAAGTGCAATATAAGATCTATCTCAAACCTAAATATCTTTGCCCTGCTTCCTTCCCACCCTTTCTTTGAAGCCCTGCCGCTTCTCCACCCTTTCTCTGAGGCCTCACTCTGCTCCACTCCATCCACCTTCTTCCCCCAGACTATGGTAGGGGTTTGGGGTGCAGACTCTGGTCTTGGGCCAAGGGGTTTCGAGTGTGGGAGAGGATCTGGGCTTAGCCCAGGGTGGGGGATTGAGATCCAGGAGGGGTTTCAGGGTGCACACTTTGAGAAGGAGTTTGCGTTCAGGGGGACTCATATCTGAGGTAGGAGGTTGGGTGTAGGACGAGGTTCAGGACTGGGACGGGTTCAGGAAGCAGGCTCTGGCTGGGCACCATTGAATTGAGGCAGCTTCTGGGTGTTGGAGCAGTGGGGTTAAGGCAGGCTTACGCCTGCCTGGCCCTGCACCACTCCTGAAAGGAACTGGCATGTACAGCAATGGCTCCATGGCACCATGTGCTGCCCCTCATTTACAGGCACTGAACCCACAGCTTCTACTGGCCCTGGTTCCCCATTACCGATAAATGGGAGTTGCAGCTGTGGTGTCTGCAGGCAAAGACAGCATGTGGAGACCCTCTACTCTGCCTTTCTTAGGGTACGTCTAGACTACATGCCTCTGTCGCCAGAGGCATGTAGATTAGGCTACCCGACATAGTAAAATGAAGCATCCCAGGAGGCTTACCTGGGTGGTCGACAAATACCTTTGATGTCGACACCCGCGCGTCCAGACTATCGCGCTGAGCCGACAAAC